ATTGTTCATATATTTTATTAAAGTAAAAATTCTTACAACGACTTTTGTGTGTTCACTTGTTTGTCAATGATTTAATCCATGATCTGATTCAAACTAAATATTATTTCTTCTTACATTTTGTGTTTATTTCAATTTGTCCTTTTTATATCTTATTTCACATCATCTACTTTTGGCGCACTGATATTTATTTGTATTTAGAAATGAATGTAATCTTGTTGATGGATAGAAAATCTTTATCCTTTATAATATCAATTTTGCTTTCAAACAATCTATATTTTCCATCTGTTTTTGATTCCAATAGCATAATTCTACCAGATTTTTTGCTTCCATTAAACATCAAATATATCTTTAGCAATAGCACAGCGGTAGGGCGTTTGCCTTGCACGTGGCCAGACGAGCCGGGTTCGATTTCTCTGCCCCTCTCGGAGACTCTGGCAAGCTACCGAGAGTATCTCGCCCGCACAGCAAAGTCTGGGAAGCTATTCATGACGTATTCAATATGCCAAAACACAGTAACAACAAGTCTCAAAATGAAGTCTTTACTGGGCTCGCTTGAGCAAATCAATGAACAGAGGACAGTGACAGTGACAGTGGCAGTGATCCAAGTCATATCTGAGTGTCTCTTGCAATAAGGAAAGTTTTCATAACTATAATGACAGTCATTCTTATCTTCTAATGTAATAATAGAATATCATTCTATTATCATAAGAGTTATTTATATAATAATAATAGTATCCTATTATTATAAGAATAAGAGAAATAATAATGAAATTTCTCTTTAATTTGGTGAAAGTTTTATAGAACCAAGAAGTGCATAGCACACAGGTTTTTCATGAAGTAGCATGGAGCTTGATGTAAAGGGAAATTTTAGAATTCCATAGAACAGAAAAGAACAGAACAGAATAGAATAGAATAGAATAGAATAGAATAGAATAGAATAGAATAGAATAGAATAGAATAGAGCAGAGCAGAGCAGAGCAGAGCAGAGCAGAGCAGAGCAGAGCAGAACAGAACAGAACAGAACAGAACAGAACAGAACAGAACAGGAGTCATGGAATTCTCTAGAGATCTACATGGTTATATCTTATCTTATAGCTTTGAAATAAGATGCAACGAGTAAGTCTGCCAATGCTTTGAAAATGCAATCAATTTAAGTCAAGACTACATTCAAACTCTTACACCTTAATAAAGTTTAACTGAAGTTTGGCATAAACTCTTGAGAGGCAACTACTCTAAATCAGGAGAGGGATGAAGGAGTCATCATAAATTAGATACATCATAATGAGACACTTAGTTTAACAAGATCTCTTGGAAAAAAAAGTGAAGCTGCCAGAAAGTTTCTTTCTGTCCAGACAAGTGACCCACTGGGAAATCAGTTACCAAGTGCTGCAGTAACTAGTTGGAAGAGTTCCTAATGAGCAGGAAAGGGGGCCATAAATATCTCCTCTTGTCTCTTCCTCAGCTTGTTCAGGCTGGACCTATGTGTTTGATGCTTATGGAGTTCTGAATCTGTCCAGGGGACCAATGCCTTCCTCCTGTCTGCTGTCTTGTCTGGGTGTCAGTCTCTGTAATCTGCTTCCCAACAAGGAACTTGAATTTCTATTTCGAAGTCTTTCTCTTCAAAATCCTACCCTGGTGAGTCTAAATGTCACTAAGACACTGCATTAGAAAGTCAGAGTTAGGGAAAGGCAAAAACATTTACCTGGTTACCGGAGTGCCTTGCCAGCCTACCCTCGATTCTAGAGACCACTGTTTTTATGGTTGCTTCAAAACCAGTTGGTAATGTTAGACACCAAAGAGGGTTGATTACTGAATAATCAATGCATGTGTCAATGCTGGTCATGAAATAATTAGAAGGAAAGTAGGGGATAAATTGGAAGCTTGAAAGACTTCAGTAAAAGTAACTCTATGTCCAAAGGGTATTGTAATTAATCAAAGTAGGAATATTGTGTTTGTTGTGAAAATATATACAGTGATTACATATTTTTTTCTTTTCTTTTTTTTCTTTTTGGATTTATACCTGGCTGTACTCAGGTTTACATATGAATCTGCACACAGGATTTGCTTATGGCAGTCACCATATAGCATCATACCTCAGTGCTATGTCTCAAGTCCTCACATCTGTTCCTTAAGATGAAACACATTAACTATGTTTACCTATCGATGAGAAAGATCCAGATGAAGGAAATATTATTACATGTAAATATTATATTATCTTTCAAAACAGTCGTTGAGACACTTGCCTTAATAGTTCTTACTCTGGAATTTATAATTAAGAAAATTATCACTGGGAACAGAGAAATATTACAGTGGCATTTACCTTGCTCAAGGCCAATCCAGGTTCAATCCCCAGCATCCTATAGGGACCCCTAAGCCTCGCCTGGAATAATCCTTGAGCAGAGAGTCAGGAGTCAGCCCTGAGCACTGCTGTGTGAGACTCTCCAAACCAAAACTGCAACAACAAAAAGAAAATGTTAACATATGTAAGAAGGATGGAGCTAACAATCTGACTTTCGCATTTTCATTCCACGCATTCATTTATGAAAGCATTTGTAGATGGAATGTGATGGCAATGATTTGCATCCTCAGTTGTCTGACATTTTCCTTTGATCCAATATGTAGAGATCACAGTGGACTTGTTTCTATTTTCCATTGCATTGATCTATAAGGTGTAGAATTTTGTTAACTTGGCTCCTTTCCCTTTACTTTTTGCATGTAAACATTAGTGAGGAGTCACATTATACTTTGTGATATTGTGGGTTAGTACTATCAGCTTTTTACATTATGTTTGTGTGTATGTGTGAGGGGGGCAATTTTTAACCAAGTTACTTGTAGTTGAATTTCAGGCAAATTTGCAGTTATTTGTAGTTGAGTTTCAGGCTTATTTGTAGTTATTTGTAGTTGAATTTCAGTGTTCTAACAACCACCCCTCCTATGTCTACTTCCCTCTACTACTGATGTGTGTGTCTGCGTGTGTGTGTGTGTGTGTGTGTGCCTTAATGAAACACTTTAGCAGTCACTTTAGTGGTCATTGTTGGAAATATAAAAAGAGAAAACTTTTATCTTTACACCAGTTTCCTTATAAAAGTCTGAGAGAGGGGACCGGCAAGGAAGTAATTTGGTTTGTACAAGGAACACTCAGTTCAATCTTTGATACCCCAGATGATCCTGAGTCTGCCAGGTGATCCCTGAGTGTAGAGCCAGGAATAAGCCCTGAGCACTATTGGGTGTGGTTCTCCCCTCCCCGTCCCAAAGTTTATGAGAAAATTATTTATGAATATATAGTCTCAAATGCATAGAGTAAGGATGAATAAGAAACATTTTTTAACATGGGCTGCACATGTACAATCTCAGTAGACTTGCTTGGAGAAACAAAATCAAACAGTAGGTTCACTGACTGAATTTGGAATTTGATATGGAGAGGAAATGCTTCTAGCTCCACAAATCTTGTGAGTATCACCACAACATCCCCCAAAGAATTGAGATCGTCCTCCATCAGTCTTGGGTCACTCACGACTCCTAAACCTCTCCCATTTGGCTAACTCAGTTCTGCGGGCAAGTTTGCAGCATCACTGAGTGTTGCTTTCTTGACTTGCTTCATTATGTCCTGCAAATGAGAGAGCAACCTGTTTGTCTTTCCCATTCTGATATCTGACCACCACAACATGCTCTGATTCTATCCATATTGTAACACAGGTAAACATTTATTTTTTCTTACAATCAACTTCATTTAATGTTCTTAAAGGTTCAGTAAAATTTATGATTGTTTGCTCTTGCAAAGACAGTCTTCGGAACATTGTAGGAATGAGCATATTTCAAAAGTGCCCGAGAAAAGACTACTTGGTACACAAATTTTGATACATCTACATAATGCACTATTACACAGCTGTTAGGAAAAATAAAGTCATGAAATTTGCTTATAAATGGATGGACACAGAGAGTACCATGCTGAGTGAAATAAGTCAGAGAAGAGGGACAGATGTAGAATGACTGCACTCATTTGTGGTATATAAAAATTAGTATGAGACTAATATCCAAGGCTAGGGAAAATTGGCTATGAGAACCTGTCAATGGTTGGAAGCATACCACAAGTGTGTGCGGGACAAAGGGCAGTTAGGATAAAGAAAGGATAAGTATGACAATAATAGTTGAAAAGGACCACTTTGGACAAGAACTGGTGTTGAAAATAAAGTGATGGGGGAATGGGGGAGGGGTGGTGAGAGGGATACTGGGAACATTGGTGGTGGATAATGGTCTCTGGTGGAGGGATGAGTACTTGATCATTGTATGACTGAAATGTAAGCACAAAAGTTTGTAAGTCTGTAACTGTACCTCATGATGATACATTAAAAAATAAATTAATTTAAATTTTAAAAATTTTAAAAAAGAAAATAAAGGGATATATCTGATAAACTTTGAGTATCTGTTTTATAAACCATACTGCCCAAAATGAAAGAGAGATAGGGAGTGAAAGAGAGAGACAGAAACAGAGAGAGAGTGAGTGAAAGAGAGAGAGAGAGAGAGAGAGAGAGAGAGAGAGAGAGAGAGAGAGAGAGAGAGAGAGAAAGAAGAAATATGCCCATTGAGGTAGGCTATTGGCTGGTGGGAGGGAAACTGGTGACATTGGTGGTGGGAATTGTACACTGGTGAAAGGGCTGGTGTTGGAATATTTATTATATGGCTGAAATCCTATCATGAACAACTTTGTAACTGTGCATCTCACTGTGATTCAAATAAAAAAATAGAAAATAAAGGGGGAAAGTCTGTGTTATTTCCATGAAAATTTGGAATAAAAGGTATTTGGGGGAAAGCAGAGACTGGGTGACTGGGGGTATCACGTAACAAGTAGTTATGTACAAGATAGGTCAAGAGAGACTTGCTCTGGTAATAATGGACTAAATTTTTGAATAAGAGGATGCAACTATTTTAGCTATAGGTATAATGAATGCTCATGTGAGTATAAATCACAATTTATTGTTTCTTCTAGGGCTCTTCATTACATGGAGACAAAGAATCTCACAGAAATTACAGAGTTTCTTCTTCTAGGATTGTCAAATGAAGCAGAAATGCTATCCCTCATATTTGGCATTTTCTTCTCCATGTACCTAATCACCGTGCTGGGGAACCTGCTCATCATCCTGGCCGTCAGCTCAGACCCCCACCTCCACACACCCATGTACTTCTTCCTGTGCAACCTGTCCTTTGTGGACATCTGCTTCACCTCCACCACCATCCCCAAGATGCTGGTGAACATCCAGACACACAGCAAGGCCATCACCTATGTAGGCTGTCTCGCCCAGATGTACTTTTATATGCTGTTTGGATTATTGGATGACTTACTCCTGACAGCAATGGCCTATGACCGTTTTGTGGCCATCTGTCACCCCTTGCACTACACGGTCATCATGAACCCGAGACTCTGTGGGCTGCTGGTTCTGGCGTCCTGGATCTTCAGTATTCTGCATTCCTTCTTACAAATTGCCATGGTGCTGCGTCTGTCCTTCTGCGCAGATGTGGAAATCCCCCATTTTTTCTGTGAACTCAATCAGGTCATTCACCTTGCCTGTTCTGACACCTTCCTTAATAACTTGCTGATGTATTTTGCAGCCGCGGTGCTTGGTATTATTCCTCTCTATGGGATCCTTTACTCTTACTCTAAGATTGTTTCCTCCCTGCGTAGAATCTCCTCAGCTCAGGGCAAGTACAAAGCATTTTCTACCTGTTCTTCTCATCTCTCCGTGGTCTCCTTATTTTATGGTACGGGCTTAGGTGTGTACCTGAGCTCTGCTGTGACCCAGAATCCACGTCCAAGTGCCATCGCATCTGTGATGTACATGGTGGTCACCCCCATGCTGAACCCCTTCATCTACAGCCTCAGGAACAAAGACATCAAGGAGGCTCTGACAAGTCTAATTGGGAAGAAATATATAAAAGCGTAATTTTCTGGATTTAAAAGGTGTCAATTCTTGGGGGATCCCAAACTCCTGAAATAGACTTCAGGGTTGTTTTCATCCAAGAGTCCAATGGGACTAGTCTTATTTATTTGTATGTATTTATTTATGAACTTTGCATTTCTTTCATTGCAACTCTCCTATGCAATCTATCTGACAAATATGATCAGTTTTCTGCTCTGCAGATCTGTACGTATTTTGCCTTTGTCTATTCCTGCTCTCTCAAGTATATTCCCAACTGTGGATCTGAAATATTTGGAAGTTTCCTCTTATACGATTAACTGAATGGATTTATTAAGAACAATTAATTCTAGAAGGACATAGGTGTCACCATGTTGATGATGGAATGGAAGGTTGCTCAAAGTCTAGTCTCAAGGTGGTATAAAATAATTTAAAAAAATCAATACTTTAGGAAACCACACAGCTCATGCAATTTTAATGTAGGGATGCCTGACATTAATTTTCCATTTTGTTGTGCAATATTAATTTGTGTATCACTAACATAGTCACTGTCTATTGATATAAAAGGGTGTTAAATCTTCTATTATTGTGTTTCTTTCAATTTTCCCCTTTAGATATAAGTATAGCTTCATCTAATTTGGGTGTACCGGTATTTCTTAGGATGTAGTAATATCATCTGTCTTATGTTTATATCTGAATTTTATATCTGAAAATTGCTAGATTGACTTCTTTTTATCACATATGGTACATATTTGTATCACATGATAGTATATTCTTCAGTCTTTGTTGTTTGACTCAGGAAAATGCTGTTTTTTTGTCTCTATTTGTAAAGAACTTTCCCCAAATATTTCACTTTCGATATCTGTGTGTATGGCCTATGAAGTTAATGAATTTTTAAAAACTTTTTTTGGATTTGTTGCTGCATTTTAGCTCCATTTTATTTTGATTGGAAGTTTAGCTACTTTGCATTTAAATTAAATGCTGTTATGCATTTATTTCCACTTTATTCATTATTTTTGGATCCATTTAGTAATTATTTATTCTCCTTATCTGTTTCTCCCTTATTATCCTACTTCTTTCGAGCTTTCACTGAGTTTTTATGGCTGTCTTTAATGTGATATTTGGATTCTCGTTACATTTTCTTTACTTTTTATTAGAATTTTATAATAAAACTTATATATTTATTATATTTACAAGGCAATTTGGATAAAATAGCTGGTGTGTGTGATTTGTTCGTCTTCGGGTCACATTGATGATGCCCAGGGTTTACTTCTGGCTCTGCATTCAGAAATGAGTCCTGGTGGTTCTTGAGGGATGCTATCAGATGCTGAGAATTGAACTTGGTTTGCTGTATCCAAGGCAAGTACTCTAATTGTTCTACTATTGCTCCAGTCGTGAGTGGGATTTTCTCATTTGGATTGATAATCATTTTATATTTGAACACATTGTGAATGATTACATGCTTTCTTCCCCCCATTTAATTTGCACTTCCTCATCACTTGTTGCATATTTATGACAATCCCCAAGAAACTTTTGTAGCTTTTGTTCATTCATACATATATATCCTTAGTATTAATACTTGCCTTTTAAAATGGTTTGTGCACTATTTTAATGAATTTAACGAACCTTTCCAGTGACATTTTTTCTTTGTTTGTAGTGTCTTTTTGTTGTTGTTGTTGCTTTTTAAAATATTGTTAGCATCATTGATTTTTCATTGATTTCATTGATTTTCCCCCCTCATTTGTTCTACATTAATACTTTAAGGGATCTTCCTGATGCTCAGATATTGTTATTGTTCCCATTTGGTCTCAGTGTATGGAAAGCCTGAAATACCACATTTGGTCTCAGTGTATGGAAAGCCTGAAATACCACAAACTTGGCTGGTCTGTGCTACTTGTTTATTCAGGAAAAAAAAAAGGATCTTGATTCCAATGACAGGGCCAGAGTTAAATTCTCTTGTGAGTTCAATCCTTCAATTATGAAACTGAAGAAATCTCTGAGCAAGCAAGAAACAAAAGTGACCCTAATAGTGTCCAGATATGCCCCATTCGTGGTTAAAATTTGGACGCTTTTGTGGACAGACTTAGAAGTGAGGAGACACATCATAAAGGGCAATGTCATAGTGGTGGAAAGTGCCTCAATTTTCAGATAGAAACTATAACATAATTTATTCAAAAAGATAAAATATGCTGCACTGTGATTTATCCTAATGTGGATTCTCCCAGTTGAATACATGTCTTCCATTCTACAATGAGTACATTGCAGAATGTACTGTCTGTAGCACTGTCCTCACATTGTTCATTGATTTGCTCGAGTGGGCCCAGTAACGTCTCCATTGTGAGACTTGTTTTTACTGTGTTTGGCATATTGAATACATCACGGGTAGTTTGCCAGGCTTTGCTGTGTGGGCGCGATGCTCTTGGTAGCTTGCTGGGCTCTCTGAGAGGGGCGGAGGAATCGACTCGGTTTGGCCTGGTTGACCCAACCCGCTGTACTATGTCGCTACAGCCCAATGTACAATATACAATGAGGTTTATATTCTGACATATTCTGATGCATCAAGATAACAGTGAACCGTAAGTTTCCTTATGTAGCAATAGCACATTTGATTGGAATAAATATATTTACTTATATACCTTTTAGTTTCTAAAAAATGACTCACAGCTTGGAATGAATTTTATGTAGTTAAGCTATTGGCAAATGAATATATTTTTCTGTATTCTCTCTATATAGGATATATTTGTATCTCTATAAGTAGGACAACTATTGCCATATTCCCTTGCAAAATATGATTCAACTCTACTCAGATTGCACTTTAGAAACATGCCATATGTTTTCCTTAAATAATTTCAATATAATGACGTGAAATTTCAAATATTAAAATCATTTTTCTGGACCTTAAGCATTTAAAAAATTCTTCTTTGGGTGAAGTTTCTGTTCATTTCCTCTCCCCACTTTTTGGTGAGGTTGAATTTTTTTCCTTATAAAGTTCTACCATGTTCTACCAGTGTCTTATGTAACTTTGATATTAACCCCTCATCAGTTGGGTATTGAGTAAATAATTTTTCCCATTCCCTGGGATGTCTCTGTATCTTGGTCATTATTTCTTTCGAGGTGCAGAAACTTCTAGGCTTAATGTAGTCCCATTTGTTTATCTTTGCTTCCACTTGTTTGGTCAGTAGTATTTCATCTTTGAAGATGCCCTTAGCTTCAATGACATGGAGGGCTTTGCCTACTTTTTTTTTAGTGTACCTTATAGATTCAAGTCTGAGTTTAAGATCCTTAATCCATTTTGATCTGACTTTTGTGTATGGCATTTGAGAAGTCTGAGTTCAATTGTTGTATGTAGCAACCCAGTTTTCTTAGCACCACTTGTTGAAGAAGCTTTTCTTGCTCCACTTCATATTTCTTGCTCCCTAATCAAAGATAAAATGATAATATATTTGAGGGTCTGTGTAAAGATATTCAACTCTATTCCATTAGTCTGCAGGTTTGTTTTTGTTCCAATACCATTCCGTTTTAATTACTACTGCTTTGTAGTACAGTTTGAAGTTGGGGAAGGAGATACCTCTCATCTTCTTTTTCTCAAGGATTGCTATGGTTATTCAGAGGGATTTATTGTTCTATATAAATTTCAGGAGTGTTTGGTCTATTTCTTTGAAAAAATGTCATGGGTATCCTTATAGAAACCACATTGAATCTATAAAAAATTCTCTGCACCACTAATCATCAGGGAGATAAAAATCAAAACAGCAATGAGATGTCATCTTATACCACAGAAACCGGCACACATTCAAAATAACAAAAGCAACCAGTGCTTGGGGCTGGAGCAATAGCACAGCGAGTAGGGCATTTGCCTTGCACGCAGCCAACCCGGGTTCGATTCCCAGCATCCCATATGGTCCCCTGAGCACCTAGAGGGGTAATTTCTGAGCGCAGAGCCAGGAGTAACACCTATGCATTGCCAGGTGTGACCCAAAAAGCAAAAAAAAAAAAAAGCAGTCAGTGCTTGCATGGATGTGAGGAGAAAGGGACTCTAATTCATTGATGGTGGGAATAATGTCTGGCCTGGCCTTTTTGGAAAACAAAATGGGTATTCCTCAAAACAAATTGAGCTTCCATTTGACCCAGCAATATCTTTTCGGGAAATATACCTTGAGGGCCCAAAAATACACAACAGAAAGGCCATCTGTGTATTTCTATGTTCATTTAAAGTCTATTCTCAACATGGAAACAAGCAGAATGACCAAGAACATATGACTGGATAAAGAAATTATGGTATATCTACACAATGGAATACTACACAGCTGTTAGGAAGAATGAAGTAATGAAATTTGTTTATAAATGGATGGACATGGAGTGTATCATGCTGAGTGAAATGAGTCAGAGAAAAGGGGCATATATAGGATGACTGCATTCATTTATGGGATATATATTATGAGTCTTATATCTAAGGCCAGGGTAAATGAGGGCCACGGGGGTAAATGAGGGCCAGGAGGACTGATCAGTGGTTGGAAGCTTGCCACGTGAGTGTGGGAGGATGAAGGGAAGTTAGAGTCAAGAAGGAACAAACATGACAATTTTAACTGGAAATAATCGTTTTAGACAGAAACTGAGTGTTGAAAATAGTTTAAGATATATATCTTATACCTTTCATTATCTATATTGCAAACCATAAGGCTTAAAAGGAGAGAGAGAAAGAGAGAGAGAAGGAGAGAGAAAGAGAGAGAAATAGAGAGAGAGAAGAAAAATGCCTAACATCGAGGCAGGCAGGGACAGATGGGTAGGAGAGAAACTGGGAACATTGGTGGTAGAAAATGTACACGGACAAAGGGACAAGGATTGGAATATTATATGACTGAAATCCAATCATGAACAACTTTGTACCTGTGTATATCACTGTGATTCAATAAAAAATAAACTATCACTATCACCCTCTTGTTTGATTTGCTGGAGCGGGCACCTGTTAATGTCTCCATTCATCTCTGTCATGTGCTAGTGTAGTCTGATGGCATACTGGGGGCTCT